GGGCTGGCGAAGCCGTGCTCCAGGGGCTGGGCGCGGAGAGCAGCGCCCTGAGGGATGGAGCCATGTCCCCACCGGGATCGCACCCCTGCGGCATGGCTGCTTCCCCGAGTGCCGCACCGAGCCGGGAAGAGATGGGAGTGTCGGAGGAGGAGGTGTCCACTGGCCTGAGCCCAAGGGAACCAGAAGGGGTGGCCCAGGAAGAGGACACGTGTGGCCTTGGCCAGACGGGAACCTGCTGGGAAGAGCCAGAGAGAGGGGGGGATGAGGAGGAGGCCCCGAGCATGGAGGCATCATATCCCTTGAAGGATGAGGAGGAGAGGGGACCCTGCAGCCCCCGTGGGGAGGACGGTGATTTCCAGGGTGAAGAAACAGATGCATGGGAAGATGAGTCCCCTCCAAAGGAAGTCGAAGCTGCTCGTGCTGTCCTCGTGGAAAGCCACCCAGTTTTGCCCATGGAAAGTCACCTGGAAGAGGACCTTGTTGACGGGGAGCAGGAAAAGTCTGAGCATCAGGCAATGCCCGTGTGTGAGACAGATCTGGATGCAGAGGAGGAAAGGGGGCAGGAGACATGCCCAGAGCAGGAGACATGCCCAGAGCAGGAGCCCTCAAGCATCCATGAGACCATCTCAGCAGAAGAGGCTTCATCAGGGGCTGAAGAAGATGCTGTGGGATGGGAGGACCCAGGCAAAGCAAAAGATGGTGAAGGAGAAAAGGGAGAGGCCGGCGGGGAAACACTGGGAGGAGAAGAGCCCTGGGCAGGAGAGGCTGCAGGACCTGAAATCCTGGAGCAGGAGAGCAGAGCCCAGGAGGAGCCTAGGAACTTGCAGGAAAACAGCTTTGCAGAAGAGGTGCAGGAGCAGGAGGAGCCAGAGCTGGAGCCAGGAGAGGAGCCCTGGGGCAGGGGGGATGATGGCAACAGCCAACAACCCTGTCCAGAGGACTGGGAGGTGATGGCAGAGGACACAGAAGGAGTTCTGGGCACAGAAGAGCCAGCCTGGGCAGGTGACACCCCGGCAAGCGCAGGAGGGCTGGAAAGCGAGGAGAGAGATGGCACATCGCCAGCAGAGCTGGAGGAAACCCAGGACGATGATGAAGAAGATGCTGAGAGCCAGGGGATGAGCCAGCAACAGCCACCGCCGGAGGCTGAGCCGGCCCCGGAGCTGGCAAGGGATGAGCAGGAGGGCACCGCAGGGCAGCCTGCCCAGGCCCCCGCAGATGCCCCCGGGCAAGGGGACAGCCAGGAGCCGGCCGAGGCTCCGGAGGAGCCGTGGGAGGTGCAGGGTAAGGATGCAGACAATGAGCTTGGCTCAGAGCCGGGACGGCCGGGGAGCAGCAGCACCGGCCCGGCGGCACTGCAGCAGGCACCAGGTGACGGCACAGAGAGCGGTGAGTCGGCGGAGGAGGATGCTGGGCAATCGGGAGAGCTGGAGCAGGTAGCGGGAACAGGCAGGAGGGTGGAGCTGGAGGACACGCTGCCGGACAGCACACCTTTGCACCTCTACGAAGGGGAGATGTTGGCTGTGGTAATGCCCAGCCAAAACCCTCCGGAGACTGAGGAGACCACAGAGAGAGCCCCTTCATCCGCAACAGCTCCAGAGGATGAAGGATGGCTGGAAGGGAGCGACAAGCCACCATCACGCTCCATGCCAGAGAGCTGCGAAGAGGAGGCAGGGATGGAGGCAGCCCCTGCGGCAGAGGGTGCTGAGGAGGAGGAAGGCTATTTCATGGTCTCTGCTCCCAACCAAGAGGCGTCCAGCTTGGAGGAAGCTGAGATCTCCGAGGACTTTGAAGAAATTAAAGTTGAAGCAACCGAAGCTGGCAAAGATGATCTGGAAGCTCCTGGAGAAGCACCTCTGGCACCAGAAGATGAAGGGCACTTTGAGGAGTTCATTGGTGAAGCAGGTGAAGACATGAAGATGCCCACAGAACAACCTGAGATGCCAAAGGATGAAGATGAGGATGAGGATGACGCTGGAGGTCTTACTGCTGAGCTGGAGGAAGGTCCAGCTGCACCAGAGGTAGATCCCGGCTCCCCTAGGGCCACGGGGCCGTTAGGAGGAGGTGCTGACGAGCCAGCCCAGGGTGCCACAGGCACCGACACGTGCGAGGGACCAGGGCACTCAGAAGGCTTGGCTGATGAATCGGTCAAAGAGCTCGACGGCACGGTGGAGCCGGAGAGTGATGCCAACAGAGCTGAAACACTCCCAGGCTGCAACCTGGGGCTGGTGGGGCAGGA